TTTTTTGTATATTGTAATTTGAGTAAATAATAAAAGTATATTTCAGTTAAGTCCCCCTCTTCCTCCATCCTCAAATTCCAACAGATCTTTGCCTCAGGTGGGGAATTTGATCAGAGTTTCTACCTTAGGCTTCCCTGACAACCATTTAGTTGGTGCTCACTCAGCAATGTCCAAGCCCAGAAAATCTATTTTTGGCACGAAATATGCTTTCAAGTCTCATTCCAAAAGCTCTTCGAAGCATCAAAGGCCTGGAAATTCTAGACCGTTCCTTCAACCAACTCTATGGATCCATTGCAAATGAACTTAAAATTTAAATGCCCTTCGGTTATTGAACCTTTCTTATAATGACTTTGAAGGAGACATTCCCAGCGATGGAGTTCTCACAAATCTCTCTTCTTTCCATTTTGAAGGAAACAAGTTGTGTTTGCTTTCCTCATGTAAGACTTGAGGCCATAGAAGAAAGTTCGTATTTTACATCACCTTAGCTATTGTGGTGATATTACTATGTTTCACGATTGGCTTGCTGTTGTGTGTAAGGAGGAGAAAAAAACAGAGGCAGCAGCATCATTTGAAATGGCAGAGCCATATCATCCAATGGTTTCTTATCATGAGCTTCATAAAGCCACCGGGGACTTCAGCCAAGAAATTTACTTGGAACTGGAAGCTTTGGTCGGGTGTGTAAAGGCTATCTTGGTGAAGTGAATATCAACACTGTTGCGGTAAAAGTAGTATATACTTTAAGGGCAAGATCCTTGAAGAGTTTCTTTGCTTAATGTGAGGCTTTGAAGAATGTAAGGCATTGAAATCTAGTTAAGCTAATTACATCATATCCTAGTATATATTTCAAGAACAATGAATTTCTGGCTTTGGTTTGTGAGTTCATGCCTAATGAAAACTTGCAATTCTGGATCAAGGGAAAGATAAAGCATGCACATGGGAATGGGTTGAATCTTTTGGAGAGACTGAACATTGCCATTGATGTTGCTTGCGCATTGGTTTATCTGCACAATGACACTGAAACTGCTATTGTGCATTGTGATTTGAAGCCAAGCAATATTCTTCAGTGTGAAGATATGACTGCAAAGGTGGGTGATTTTCGATTGGCTAGACTGTTGATTGGAAGACCAACTAATCAAGTCTCAATAAGCTCCACTCATGTCCTCAAAGGTTCAATCGGCTACATACCTCGAGGTATAGCAACTTGATGTTTTTATCTGGGTATCTTTAATAAAATCAAACAAATTAAATGCATTTGATCTTTACTTGCCCCTCTTCATGAGCCTCATCAATGTAGTTGTTGCTCTTACGTTTCACTAACATAAATGCAGAGTATGGATGGGGAGAAAGGACATCAGTAGCAGGAGATACATACAGTTTTGGGATTGTATTGCTAGAGCTCTTTTCTGGGAGGAACCCAACAGATGATGGCTTCACAGGTGGCCTGAGCTTAACAACATGGGTTCAATCAGCAATCCCAGACAAGATTGTGCGAGTCATAGACCCTCAGCTTCTATCACACACTTTTGACAATGACCTTGCTCATAAAGGTCCAAAGCTGCAACTGATTGATTGTGTGACTACAATTCTGAGAGTTGGTTTATCCTGCACTGCAGATTATCCAGATGGACGCCTTAACGTGAAGGATGTTGTTGCAAAATTGAAAAATGTCAGAGACATTCTTTCGAAACTCAACGAGAACATTTGCTCCAAGCATTAGTTTCATTGTTGTTGGAAGTAGTAAATTTAAATATAATGTCTTTAAGGATTGCAAGAGTCTCGTAGTTATACAAAGTTTATGAATCTCAACGTGCTTAGAAATATGTGATGTATGGTTGTTAGTAACTTCAATAAAATATATAGGAGGATGTTTAAGGGTAATGAAAATTAGCATAAAGTGACCAAGTGTTTTGTGTTTTGTGAGAGTGGAGTTATAGTAAGAGTGAAATTACAGTTATGGAAGTAATATTCGTGTTTTCCAAGCTAGCAGTTGAATATGCGTTTCTATTAAATGATTACTTGCCTCCTTGGTTTCTATTTATTCTCTGAACCCAAAAGGAGAAATGCCCTAATCATTAAGTTATATGAAAATGAATCAAAAAGTTGCTTAAAATATCATGAATTTAGCAAAGAAATTGTGTCTGTGATTTGTGAATGTATATTACATGGGACATTCCACCATTAAAGTATCATTTGAGTTAAGTGGTTTAGTGTCTTTTTCTATATTAAAAAAAAAAAAAACAGTTCTTATTACCCAAAGAAAAAGGAAAAAGATTGTTTATTGTTCTAGTAAGAAAGAGAAGCTCAGGCTCATCAGTATCGATGTGCATCATTGAGTCTAGTAAGAGACACTTTCATCTTTGACTTATTTAGCACGTCAGTGGAGATTTTCAATTGAAAACCTCTGCTGTGCACTCCAATGCATGATATTAAAATCCAATCTGGGTGCTTAGTCGGTCAAGAGCTTAGGACGGGGCCGATTGGGTTGCTCTGCCGATTCTCTGGATGAAGGCCTTATGATGAAAGATATGCTGTTCTGAAGTTAAAAACTGTTAGATATAATCTTTCCCAACTCAATCAGAAAAAGAGCTATTCAGAGAATTACTAGTTTCATTGAGAGTGAAGTATTGCTAGCTAATGAACCACATAGCTGGATATGCATTTCTATTACATGAATTGATGCTTCCTTTGTTTCTATTTATTCTGTAAAACCACAAGCAAAGCAGTTGAAAAACACAACTGGCATTGGAAACTACTAAAAGCATATATGTAGTTTTGTTGTTCATATGTATTTTTGAATAAAATATAATATCAATACATGTCATAATGAAGATCTGCATAAGAATACAATCTTAAACGCCACTTGTCCCGGTGCAGCTAAAGAATTTCGACCCTTGCACCCTGAGATTTTGTTTGAAATGAGAGGAAAAAAAAAACAGGGAAATTGAAAAAATTAGGAGAGAAAACTATATTTAAAAAAACATCTTCATCTTTGTTCATCCTTAATTTCCCCTTGGAAAGGGAGAGAAAAAAAATTTAATGATAAGGAGAGAAAATATTTTTTTCTACTTTTCTTCCCTTCCTGTTTTATTCCAATTCCAAACGGAGGGTTAGAGTTATCACATTCTTGTCATATTATTCAATATGATAGAATTAAATCATATAATTAAATCTTACATAATATGTTATCCAAGTAATGATATTATAAAAAACAATATAATATAAATATCACGTAGCATTTCACTTGTGATGACGAATGTGAGACTTATTATAATGCTATTACAAAATATTATATTGAGTCTGTTTTATAATTTGACCATGGTTTATATCATATGTTATATCAATGATGAAGCGCAATAATAGGTTCTTTGCTCCTTAAAATGAAATTTAAAAAATAAAAATATTTTTTAAATAAATTTGTTCAAACGGTTGAATTTTAAAAATAAAAAATCAAGGTGTTATAAAATAATGATGATGATGATGATGTAAATAAAATAAACTATAGAGCAATACTTTTTCTCGACCTATTAAAAAACAACCATTAAATGGAATGATAAATGAACTTGACTGATAATGCAATGTGAAATGGAAAAATCTGTCGAAAGGAAAATCCACTAGAAGAGATACATGCGCGTTGCTCTACACTACTGCGCAGACTTTCACAAATTGCTCAGTCAATGGATTTTGTCGCTTAAATTTAGAAGAGCCACGTCTAACCTCAGAAAAGTGGGCATTGAATTCACTATGTTTCGTTTGGTATCTGAAAATATTTTTAATAAAAATAAAATAAAAATAAATATGAAAATGAAAATGAAGGTGAAAGTAAAATGAAGGTGAAAGTAAGTTTTAAAAATATGTTTGGTATGTACATGAAATTATAATTTATTTTTATTTTATATATATATATATATATATTATATAATCAATATACTAAAATACCCCTGTTAATTTTTTTTAATTATGATATACTTTTTATTTAATATATACATTTATATAATCAATTTACTAAAATACCTCTATCTATTTTTTAAATTATGATATATTTTTTATTTAATATATGCATTTATATAATTAATTTACCAAAATATCCCTATCTATTTTTTTATTATGATATACTTTTTTATTTAATATGTGCATCTATATAATTAATTTACTAAAATATCCCTGTCAATTTTTTTAATTATGATATATTTTTTATTTAATATATGCACTTATATAATTAATTTACTAAAATACCCCTATCTATTTTTTTAAATTATGATATACTTTTTTATTTAATATATGCATCTATATAATTAATTTACTAAAATACCCCTGTCAATTTTTTTAATTATAATATATTTTTTAATTTAATATATACATTTATATAATTAATTTATTAAAAAACTTTCAATTTATTTCAATGATCAAATAATTTCATAATTGAAGTTATTTTTGTCAGAAAAAATTTGCTTCCATGAAACCCATTCATTTTCATGGACGTTATAATGAAACCCAATTCAACCTATTTTGATGGATTTCATTTCAACATGAAAATTCATTTCATGCATACCAAAAAAAAAAGTGTGAATTACAATTTCATTTTCATTTCTAAGTCTCCATTTCCGACGTGCCAAATGGGGCATAAGAGTTTTGGCCCCACAAAAAAAAAGAATTTACTAAGAGTTACTGTATTATTTTCAACTTGTTATATTATTCATATTAATTTTGGATGTGTAACATTTTTTCATATAATTATATAACTGACTTATATTTGAATATTGTTATGTATAGTTGAAAGTAGTTTTTTTTCAAAAACATTTGTTGTATTCATATAGACTCAAGCTGGAGACTTCATACTTAAACAATTAAAACCTATTATACTAGGATCACCGTGACGAGCCAAATTTTATTGTAAGTTTTTATTTAGAAATAAATTGTTCATGTTTGATTTACATCCTAAGATTTTTCTCCAACGGTTGGAATAGCTTGCCAAGTCAATATTGGGCAGCGGCATAACTTTAAGTGACCATTTCGCCAGGTGCTAATGTCGGCACCTTCATCTTGACGTGTTCACCACATCGATGGAGATTTTTCTTGTTCATGAAGCCAGATGAGATAATTAAACGAAAAAGACAGAGATTAAACTACTTGAATAGTGTACTTGGATATATGTCATCTCTTCCAATAGCCACCTTCAAAACCACATATATTCACAAAATATTTCATGCCAAATTCATCGTTAAATTTAAGAAGAATAACAGTTAGGTCTCAAAAAAATAAATTAATAATAGCTAAGTCCTGATAGAATTCTCTACAAAATAAATTATAAAGATTAATTTAAATAATTACAAACAAAAATTTCTATTACAATCTAAAATTTACATTTAATATTTAAATACTTATTTAAAATTACAACTTTTGAATTTATAATAATTTTGATTGATATTTTTAACTTATTTTTTAAAAAAATTGTCAAAGATTTAACTGGTGTTAAGTCAATATTTTATGACTTTGTACAAAATTTTGGACGGGATAGACTGATTTGAATTTTTTTAAAAAAAAATTTCCTTTTTGAGCTTGAAACCACATCATTTTGAGTAGAAAAAATAGCTATATGTCATTTTTGATCTAGTATATAATTTATACATAAATGTTCCATTTATTTGTAAATTAAAGTCCTTTTATTTAATATTGTTCTTTTCTAGGTTATAGATGAATATTTTTGTTAAATTATACTATTTTAATCACACATGGGTTGACCCAATTTAACCAAGCATTGATTCTTGAAACAGGGCAGTGCCTCAAACTTCAACATATCTTTGCTATAATGTCACCCACCCCCCCACCCCTAAGGGGCACTGCCTTTTGCGCAACAGCACGTAGCAGATGCAGAAGTTTTTCTTTGGGAGATTTTTTAACTTCCATAAAGCTACACTAGTTTTTGCCTAATCGATTAATTAAGCAAAACAAAGACAAACATAGTTCCCCTATACATTCCAATGCTGGAAACTAACATTTCATGGATGAGAGGATTTAGTTTAAGATGAAAATGACAGATTATTCAGTACTTGAATAGCATACGTACTTGGATATTTATAAGGTTAAGCACTTGAAGGATGCCACCTAACTCCACTAACAACGCAGTTTCCAGCAACGATGGAGTTTCCTCATAAATCCCTCAATACAATTTACCCTGGAGAGTGTAGATCACAAATATCAGCATGTTATTTGTTCAAAATCGTTAACTAACCCATCAACATCATCATGAGGTTGTCAATAGGGAGAATTTCACTTGAGCTCTTTTCTGGGAAGATCCCATAACAGATGATTGCTTCACGGGTGGCCTAAGCTTAGCAAGATGAGTTCAACCAGCATTCTCGAGACAAACCTAGCCTATCACACATTTGCAGGTTCTCTGGATGGAATATGCTGTTGTGAAATTAATACTGTCAGAGATAATACTTCCCAACTCAATCAGAAAAAGAGGTATCCAGAGAATTATTAGTTTTATTAAGTTCAATTTTGTTGAGAGTGAAGTATTGCTCGCTAATGAAGCACACAGATGAATATGCATTTCTATTACATGATTATTACATGCTTCCTTTGTTTCTGTTTCTTCTGTAAACCCACAAGCAAATTAAAGCAGTTGGGGGAAAAAACCATCTGACATTGGAAACTACTAAAAGCATATATGCAGTTTTGTAGTTCATACGTATTTTTGAATAAAATATAATATAA